AGCAGCACAGGATGTGAGAAGACATGGCCTGTAGATGGCTGTAGCCTCGTGTCCTTGGACCTGCCTTTGCAGCCAGTGTGTCACAACCTCTCACTCAGGTCTTTCTGTCCTCCTGTGCTGTGCAGACCCTCAACTGCGTGAACCCTGAGAATGAGAACGCCCCTGAGATCCCCGTCAAGGTGTTGAACTGTGACACCATCACACAGGTGAAGGAGAAGCTGCTGGATGCTGTCTACAAGGGGGTGCCCTATTCCCAGCGACCCAAAGCTGGAGACATGGACCTGGGTAAGAGAGAGGCCAAGCACTTGCCTGTGGGGAGCAGGGATGTGATGAATAACAGAAGTGCTCTTCAAGGCAGGACATTCTGCATCTTCCACAGGAGAGGAGACCTGGCTGGGCCAGAGCATTTGTGCTCGTCCAGTCTACTCCTGCTGTGCTGGTGGCACTGACTGTGTGTGGGGACTTCTGGATTGCAGGCTTGGGTTGGCTGAGGTGCAAGGGGGTCAGCAATAGTTTGGAACAGTGTTAATAGTCCTGCTCTTAAAGGAGGTGCAGGAGAATGATGAGTAGAAGAGCAGAGGAAATGGGTGCTAGAGTCAAATAGATGCTGTCTTTTCTTGGGTCCTTAGAAACAGCTTTTGCCCAACACCATATTGATAGTCATCCGTCCTGGCCTTCAAAAGGTGGTGGGAGGGCTCTTTTGTTGATGCCCAGACTGTGCTCCTACGCTTGCCTTGGCTTTGTGCTCCAAGGCCCTGACTAACTAGAGTCCTTCTCCTGCTGGACCAGAGTGGCGGCAGGGCAGGATGGCCCGGATCATACTGCAGGACGAAGATGTCACCACGAAGATCGACAATGACTGGAAGAGGCTAAACACCCTGGCCCACTACCAGGTAAGGCTGTCCGTGGTGGAGAGCACTGAGCTGTCACCAGCTGCTTTGAGCTCGGGCATCTCTTCTCCCTCCTCAGCTTCCTCAGGGCCTGGGCTCAGCTCTTCAGACCATGAGCCAATGCAGGAGCATGGCCAGGAGGTCTGCAGTCACTGTCCTGCCTGGGCCCCATGTTTATGGTCCTTCCACTGAAGCACTAAATGGGGCATCTCCAGGACTCATAGAGCCTGTTTCCTGCTCTGACCTTACTTTGCATCTTTATGCCAAAATGTTTGTTGTGTTCCTGTTCCCTTCCCCTGAGCTGTAGCAGAGATAGATAAGTAGGTCTCCTTTGCTGGAGATGGGTGTCCCTGGGATGGGGTGCAGTGAAGCTTCATCCCACCCAGGCTGGTTTCTCCTTGATTGGGGCTGTTCCTCCTGTGCCTCTCTGGTGTTGCAGCCTGCTCACACCTTCTCTGCCCCCAGGTGACAGACGGCTCCTCGGTAGCCCTGGTGCCCAAGCAGAACTCAGCATACAACATTTCCAACTCCTCCACCTTCACCAAATCCCTCAGCAGATACGGTGAGCGCACAGCGGCGTCCTCCACTGTTCTGGCAGAGGAGGCAACACTGGGCTGGGCTTGCAGACCAAGGCACAGGGCAGGTGATTGTAACTGTGGTTCATGTGAACAAGGTCCTCCAAAGCCCCAGCTCTCCTGCACCGTGCTATTTATTTTGGTGTTGCAGAGGGAGCTGATGCCCTCGGAGCTATCTCTCTTTGCAACGTGTCAGACTCAGGGGAGAAAGACACGTGTGACATTGCTGCTGCTAAGGGATCCCCTCCCTTTTATTCCCCTGAAATCTAATTAAAATGGCACAAAGGCACTTTGCACTTAAACGAGCAGAGTTGAGGACTCCAGTGGATGTGCTGGCAAGTGTACTTTAGCCTTGGTTTGGAAGGGAATAGTGTGGTCGGCTCAGACTGACACAGGAGGCATCTGTGATCCTGGCACCTGCATGCTGGGAGCAGGATAGACCTCTGCAGAAACCCTTCCGTGATGGTTCTGGCTCCTGTACCTCAGCCAGGCTTGCCCATTGCCTGGCAGGCTGAGAGGCTGGGCCCAGCAGAGCTCCCAATCCATGGTGATGGCCGAGGCTGAATCCCAAAGCTCCAGCTTCACACTGAGATGTGCCCTGAAGCCATGGTGGAGGGAAGGGGGTTGGAGGATGGAGGGGCTGGTGTGGAGGCAGAGGTGGGCAGGGTGTGAGTGTACCCCTCTGCTTGGTGCTTGCAGAGAGCATGCTGAGGACAGCCAGCAGCCCCGACAGCCTGCGCTCGAGGACCCCCATGATCACCCCCGACCTGGAGAGCGGCACCAAGCTCTGGCACCTGGTGAAAAACCACGACCACATGGACCAGCGGGAGGGCGACCGGGGCAGCAAGATGGTCTCTGAAATCTACCTGACCCGCCTGTTAGCCACCAAGGTATGGCCCAGAGACACAGAGCTGCCACCTGGCTTTTTAGATCTGAGTGGTGAAGCGTAGCGATTTGGGTTGTCCAAAAGTGGTGACCACTGCTTTTTTGTTAGTCTTCTGCTTCAGCACAGGAGGACCTGCTCTCTTGGTCTCCTTCCTGAATTGGAGGTGAAGTTTTTTGTGTGTCAAAACTCTCAGTGAATATCTCTTGGGTGGATTTTCCTATTTGCTTTTTTGCACCCTTTGACATTTTTACTCTTCCCTGTATTCTTGAGCAGCTGCTGGACTGTAAAGCAGAGAAGCCCTGGGGCAGGTGCCTCATCCCCTTGGGTGGTGTTAGGGCTAAAGCTGCAAAATCAGTGATGTGGGAAGGGTAATTACCTGGGGCATCTGGCGTCACAGTGGGCTCCCCTTCCCTCAGCACATACAAAACCTTCTCTCGTGCCAAGCGGGTGCTGTGTGTCTGAGGTGTCCCTGGAGAGGACTGGAGAGCTGTGCTGAAGCTGCTGCCTCAGGATTGTGGAGACTGAGCTCAGGCAGCTCCCCTGTGACTTGGCTCCTTGCCTTGTGGGACAAGGGTTTGTTCAGCAGTGTCTGTCATCAGGTCTCAGGTACCTTAATGGGAACCAAAAAAGACTGTGATATGACTCACATTAGCTTGGGTTTTGCTCTGTGTGGTAGTTTTATTTGTATGCTTTTAGTGTGCCAGATGGTGCCGTGGAGATATCTCATCCCTGCAGTGTCTTGTTTCCCAGTATAAACCACTGAGAACCAGTAGAGTTACACAGACTCTACTGTGCTTCTCTTCCAGGTGGTAGGAATACAAGTGAAATAGGTTTAAAGGCCATTCTTTAGTTAGAGGGTTATCTCTCTGCTGGTGCTGGGTGTTGCTGAGCCACCCTTCTCTCTCCTCCTCAGGGCACCCTGCAGAAATTTGTGGATGACCTTTTTGAGACCATCTTCAGCACAGCCCATCGTGGGAGCGCGCTGCCCCTCGCCATCAAATACATGTTTGATTTCCTGGATGAACAAGCTGACAAGCACCAGATCAATGACTACGATGTCAGGCACACCTGGAAGAGTAACTGGTAATGGAGGGAGCAGTGGGACGGGGCGGGGGCGAATGATATCACAACTAGCAATACTTCCAACCCCTCCCACAGGGAGCAGAAATATGTCCCTGGAAATGATCCAGGACAAGAGAGGCCCATATCGCTGTATTTCGGGTGTGGGTAAATCCCTTGCATGCCTTCCTGCAGCAGCAAACATCCCAGGAATGCAGTGCTCCCTGAGCCCTTCCATCCCCGAACCCCAGGCACCACGCTCCCCCTGACGGCTGGAGGCCGAAGACCTCGGCAGCTCTGTTCCCATCTCATCCCCTGGCAAATCCTCAGGGCTCCTCCAGAGATGCCAGCCCCAATTCTCATCCCGGCCATCCTGAAGGTGTTTCTGTGCTCGGTCCCGTGGCTCAGCCGAGCGTGCCCTAGCAAAGCCAGCATGCAGCCACGTGTGCACCCTTGCTGGGCCCGCCCGCAAAGCCAGCCTGTGCTCGGGCCGGGGCTCAAGCTGCCCTTGGCTCCTGCCCCACACCCCCCTCGGCAGTTTGCTTTTCTGTTGCCTCACTGATTCCATCTCTCTGATCTTGCCGTTACTCGAGACGGGTACGTACATTCCGGTGTCTGGCATTTGTTAAATGGCAGCCAAATTGCTTTTGTGTAGTTCAGTAACTGTTGGCAATTAGCAGGGCAGGAAAAGAAACATTTTTAAATGGAGATGGGGGAGCGCGGAAGCGGTTGGAACTGATTTATAACTTGGCTTTCTATGTTAAAAGAAGAAGCGAGAGGCAAGGGAGGAAAAAAAAGCCCCGCTCCGCAGGGGCTGGGCGTGCAGGCTCCTGCATACTAATGCCTGTGCTTATCTCTGGGCGCTAATTCGATGTGTGGAGCTAATTTCTTGAGGCCGTTCCCCTCACAAATGAAATATGTACACGCACCCGGTCCCCTCATTAGGAAAGTCCTGGGGAACGAGGTGTGTTTTGTCTAAGATAAAAGCAGTCGCTAGGTGTTGGTGCTGAAGGGTGGCAGAGCAGAGAGACTTTCTGGTGGGGGGAGGCCCGGAGGTGCTCCTGGGAGAGGACAGGAGCAGCAGGATTGGGAAGAAGAGCCGTGGAGGGTGGCACGTGTGTCAGTATGCAGCAAACATCCAGTCTGTGGCTGGCCAGGAGACCTGCTGCCTCTACAGCTGAGAGCTTTATTTCCAACATCTAAGGCTGCCTAAATTCTCCTCTGGTGGTAAATGTGCTAATGAGTCCCTTGAGGAGTCCAGTTAACTCCCTGCTCCAACACCAGGGATGTGTGAAGTGCCACACAGCGCCTTCAAAGGGATTATTGATGTGAGAGAGGGGGACGTGCCTGGTGTGACCCATGGGCTTGGCAAGGGCTCTCCAGAGTGAGTGGATTCACTGCAGATCTCTGCTGCCCTGGTCTGCCTTTGGAGATGTTGGCAGGGCTGAGGAATTTCTCCATGTGGCCGTGTAGGGGTGGGCAGAGGGAACAGCCATTTAATCCAGAGTGTTGGCATCTCTGGGTTGCTGGGAAAAGCATCTTGCCCAACTCTGGGTCATGGGGATTTCCTTCTCCACAACTGGAGGTGCATGGGTGTGCCAGCTGCCCTGCAGGGCTTGGTTCAGGTGCTGACTCCTGTTTCCTTCATCCCTCAGTCTACCTCTACGTTTTTGGGTGAATGTGATTAAGAACCCCCAGTTTGTGTTCGACATTCACAAGAACAGTATTACTGATGCCTGCCTATCCGTGGTGGCTCAGACTTTCATGGACTCTTGCTCAACTTCTGAGCACAAGCTAGGAAAAGACTCTCCCTCCAACAAACTACTGTACGCCAAGGACATCCCCAACTACAAGAGCTGGGTAGAAAGGTGAGTAGACTTGGCAATAGCTCATTGCTTCACCTGGAGGACTTACAGTGGATGTATGTGGCTGTGGGGACTTGGGTCATTGGGAGGACTCCTTGGCAGCTGTCTGAAGAAGGATGGCACCAGCGCTTGCAAAAGGTAATCCTCTTGTTTGGGAGATGATGCTCTCTCGTGATTGTCTCCTGGAATGAGTTTCTAAGACTGTTTGTGACTTGCTTAAAGGGGTGCTAAAGCCCACATCCAGTTTTAGGTTTTCTGTTGTAAAAACTTGGGTCTGTGCTAGGGAATTGCTAAGGCTCCTTGATTGCTTCTGACAAGCAGGGAGAAGTCAGCCTCAGACTAGAGAAGTGACTTTTTTTGTACCAGGATGATACATGCAGATTTTGCTGAAATGGTTGAAAATTACCATTTCCCTGCTCTCATCCATCAGTATGTCTTGCCTGGGATCCTGATAAGATCACATGCTTTGAGGCAGTGCTCAGGCTGCTGTCGCTGTGCCAAGGAGCTGGGAGAGGAGCAAGTCCTCTGACCCCTCCTGACACCCTCCACCTTCACTGTTAGCTGATGAGAGACATCCTTCTGTCCCTCTGAATTAATGCACTGCTAAAAGTTCAGAGTTTGAATGCTGCTGATTGCAAATTGATGTGCTTAGGCATAATGCTGTGTTTAGCTTTATCCTTTTGGGAGAGACACCTAGGAGGTGTCCTCCAAAGCTCTCCAAATAGAACTACTGTTAAAATGTTGCTGTCTTGTGAAGTGGGTCTTCATCAAGCTTGAAAAGTGGCAGATTTCAGGTTGCTGATGGAACTTTCTCCTTGTGCTGATATTCTGGGCATGATAGTCTGATCATGTGTTTTTGGTTTTTGTTTTTTTTTTTTTTAACTGAAGACCTTTCCCTTTTTCAGCATCTAGACCAGATACAGAATGAACTAAATGAAAGGTGTCCAGGCAACATTAAGTATCATATTCTCTAGTTGCCAAGCAAGTGACTTTGTAGCCTGAATAATCCTTTGGATACTCACTTGTACAGTTATTTTTGCCACACCATTGGCATGCCGGGTGCTTTGCAGGCAGGTGAGAAGACCAGCTTCTTCCCCTGAGGAAGATAGGGCTTGGATTAGAAGAAAAGGTGCCCCTGAAATATGATGGCTGAGGTGAGAGATGAGCTGCATTGTAATAGGAGGAAGTTCTTTGTGAGGGGCTGGAGAAGGCTTTGGAGTGGGGTCCCGCAGGACCATCACAAACTTCATAAGGTGAATTTCTCTGACCTTGCCATCTCTGTGACAAAAATATTCAGCTCTGCATGTGCCTGGAGAAATACAGGTATAAAACCATTTTGGAGTTAAACATTGGTCTAGACGTGCTGTGTCCCTGGAGAGGAGGTGGAGGTCTCATCTGTGAGAGATGTTCCTGCCATTGCTCACCACCAGGGCAGTACCAGGGGCAGCTGAGCAGGGGGCAGAGCTGCCCTGGGCAGGGTGTGACTGTGGATGGGAGCCACTCAGGGCTGGCCGGTGGGGACTGCTAGTCCCAAGCAGGTCTGTTTGCTGTTGTGGCTCAGGCACCAGCTGAAAAAAGGGCATCCTGCCAGTCTGAGGCAGGAATGGCATGGTAAAGGGTTTGGAACGTGGAGAGCCTGGGGAAGCCAAGGGGGACTGCTTCCAGAGTCATGGCTGTGGTAGGTGTCCTCTGGAAATGGAAGGTGTGACTAGGATCTTGGTCCATGCAAGCCATGGACACTTGTATTGGAGAATGGTGGTTTCCTGCCATCCTATGTGTCATGATAAAACCTGGAACCTAAAACTGCAGCACGTTACCTGAGCATCTTGTTGTGGCAGCCACAAAAGCTTTCTTCAGTAGGTCTCCCCTGTATGTTCATCTCCCATGAGTTCCTCGCCACAGGAGCCTTCAGCTGTGGGGTTAAAGGGTAGCCAGGAGGATCTCTATGGGTTTTCTTTGCTAATCAAATCTGACCGGAACTGAAAAAGTTGGGCATATTGTCCCTAATATTCCTTAGCACAGGTAGAAGTAATGTCAGCTTCAGGAGGCATCGCTGTGGGGGTAATCTCTCTAGTGGCACAGCAGATCTCTTGGTGCCTGCTTTAGTCAGAGGTCCTCACCTCAGACTGCTGCTCTCTTGGCAGCATCCAGGAAATCTCTTGAATAATTTTCTGGGTGTGAATGAGCCTCCTTGTAAAAACTGCCCAAGTATTTTATCACTAGCTGAGTTCAGAGCTGTGGGATGGAGTAGGTCTTCATATTCATCTCCTCAAGTGGTCTTGCTGCCATCTGCTCCTATCCAAGTGCTTCAGCCATGTTCCGTCTCAGCGTTCAGCTGATGATGCTAATGATGCTAATCACTGTACCAGAAACTTCACTGAGTGAAGAGTCATGAGGAGAAAAGCAAACCTGGGAGCGACTGGCACTCTGCATTTCCAGGTGATGGGAGCAGCCAGGGCTTGTTTGCTGTGGGTAGGGTTTCTTTTTTAATACAGGCCCATGGACAGAACCCTGGATTCCAAAAGGACCTCAGTGGTCAGTCCACTGGTGCACCACTTGGTGTAACCCTCCTGGTGCAGTGGAATGCTGTGGTGTTGATCTCCTTGGGTTTTGATGAATATCCTGCTGGGTATTCTGTTTTTTTTTTTCACTACTATCCTGGCCCATATAAGCTGTTTCTGAGTTTCCTTATACTTGCTGAGTGAAGCAGCTATGGGATAGGACTCCAGATCTTAAGGTGTCCTAGGAAATGTAAAGTAGAATCCTGCTGGTAACAACTATCAGAGAAGCACAAGGAAGGCAGGAATG